ATCTTGAGATTTTATAAAATCACTAGGCGCTTCGTAGTGGACGAAAACGTCTTCTCCCATTGAATGCGCATCACCGGAAATTCTGAACTAAATTTAAAATAAATACGAGCACCAAAACATGAACCCGGATGGGCTGAAGATACCACTGTCCATCTAACCATCAAACCACCGGTTACGTACATGGACCATGGAGCATTTATTTTACTTATAATTAATTAATTAAAGAACGTATATACACGATTAACCACACGACTCCACAAATATACACGATTGCCACACACGATCTTGGCAGGCTGTCACCCATCAAGGCATCAAGCACGCATTGCACCTGCATCAAAACGTCGCTGTCAGTCGCCACCGGTGACGCGCGCGGCGAGATATACAATCCATGGCCCTCCACACACCTGACCCACCGACGACGACAACAGAGATACACGGCAAGAGGTTGCCGGTCTCATTTGGCCTGTATTATTCGAGACAAGATAACCTTCTGACCCTCGATCAGAAACTAAACCCAATCATGGAAAGCCGGGCGATTTAACTCGAATCGAGCAACGGAAGATTCCAGAGTCCCCACCAAGCTGCGCGGCCGGACCACCGACTACCTGCGGCCTTTCTCTCTCCTCCGGCCCCCTTCTGGCTACGGGTAAAGCTGGTGGCGGGTGGCGGTACCGGCATATTCTTTTTTAACATAGTATAGACGCAGAGACCTTCAAGAAACCGAGTGAGTATATCTGATAACATGCAGTGGTTGTCATGTCGCCCCAACCATTTTCGTCCCGTTATCTACACACAGCTCGTCCCACATGTGTCCCACGAGAAATTAATTAAGACTTTCTGTAGTGTAGTAACTCGTGAATCTTTTCGGCCTGTGGATGTATTTATAAAAATGACTAGGAAAGTGTTCATCCTTAATTATTATTTTCCCAAAAAATTCTTATTTATTAATAATACTCCCTATAAGTAACAAAAATAACAAGCAGGTCCCTGGACCCCTAGCAATAACCATGAACACTAGAATAAGTCGAATGCGCACGGATGTCATCGCCCACCTCAAAAGAGCCGACAAATCTTGTTGTAGTTGAAAGTCAAAAAGTCGTGAAACTAAGGCTTAAAACGCCAGCACACTAAAACAACAAACGTCACCCGTAAAGAAAAACATTGATTAGAACGAACGTATCTACAAACACACCAACAACCATGAGTGCCCGCCAAATCCACATGAATCCATCAGTGACAACATAGCAGATTTTAGTAGTTCTGTCAAAGACCAACAACGACTGAACCCAAGTAAATAGGCAACACAATGGGATCAGCCGCACCTTCGAGATCGATAGTGCCACCAGGGGCGGGGCGAACTGATAGCGCCGCCGATGAGAGGGGCCAAAACCTGATTGGCTCTAAATCCCTTGGAGGGGTCTCAGAAATATCATGACCGTGGTTTCTACATTGAGTTAATTCTTAATCAACTAGGATAATATATTTTTATTAATTATATGAAAAAATTACACCATGATGAATATATTTATACCTTTTTATGAACACATTTTTGGAATTGTTGATTCAATTATGAGCCAGCTGAGGGCTTTTTATAATCTTTCTTTCTTCTGAAATAGATGTTGGCCTCTTTTGTCTCCTTTACTTTTTCGTATCACACGTATTGGCCAGGGAAATGTTTCCTATTTTCGTCAAAAAAATCTGAGCGGGCAAAGACAGAGGCGTTCCCAAAAGCAATATGCCAGAAGATCAAGTAAGGAACATAACAAATGAGCAGTCTCATTAATTATATACGTCATACAGAGTAAACAAACTGATCAAGTTAACATGAATGGCATACGTACGAGACTATCCCGTGTATATTTATTAGCGGAAACGTCTATATTATACATACATATGTACCGGCCATGAACACATCTCCGAATACAACGGAGTGATGCGCATGCACATGACAAGGGAGTAGTAGGCCGGCCGGTCGGCCGGCTGGCCTTTCCTAGTGTCAGGAGGCGACGCTGCTGTTGGCGTTCTGCAGAGACTGTAGCTGCGCCTTGCCGCTGAGGCCGCGCTGCCGGATGTGTGCCCGATACTCGTCGAAGGTCATCTCCGGATACAGCGCCGGGCGTCCCGGCGCCACCAGCTCCGCCATGGGCGCCACCGGCACGTCGCTCCGCGGGTTGTAGAAGAAGGCGAGCGATAGCCGCTCCTCCGCTGCACTCACTGTCACCCGGTGCTCCACGCTCTTGTACGCCGCGTTGCTCAGCACCTGCGTACGTAAGCACACAGAGTTAAGAGTAGTACACCATTTATATATTTTCTCTATACGTTAATATAAGACGTTTTTGCAGTTCATTTCCGAGTCGTAAACAATACACTATTTACAATCAATTCGATCGAGAGGCTATTGGTGTCACACGTTGAGGGAGCTCAGGTGCGGAATAGACTTGATGGGTGATAGCTCCGGCACTGTGGCACCATCAAATGCAAAATAATCAAAGGCGTAGGCCGATTAGACACGCCTCTGGCTATAGCTACTGAGTAGGTGTCACTTGCACCTGAACCATTTTCTAATATGCCTATAGAGGAATATCACATGAAAGAAGAGAAATATGTCATTTCCACCATCAAATTGAATTTCCGCCTTGTTAGTGCCTACGCCTATCCAAGGTCCAAATCTAGCTAGAAGTAGTAGCCTTTTTACAGAAGCCAAATTGACCCCAGAAGCCAAGGAAAATAACACAAGAGAGTACTATCTTGTGTGACAGAAATAATTCCACGTCGATCTTTGAACTTTCGATGTTGTTTCATAGCATTTTTTCGTTATAGAAGCGCGTGCTCACAAAGATAGCACCTTTTCATTCTTTTTGCTATTGCACAGCGTGCTCACAAAGGTTAGCACGTAGTACGTGTACTCCCTCCGGTCTTTTTTAGTTTTTGCATATGAGTTTTGTCCGAACTACTTTGACCAAACATATCTAAAAAAGTAGTATCAACGTTTACAATGTCAAAGAATATTGTTAGGTTTATTATTAAATAGTTTTGTTGTTACTATTCATCATCCAGGTGCAGAATAAGTTATTCTTCACCCGAGGTAGTCTTACGATCATTTCATAATTAAATTACGTTTCGAATTCAAATAGTTACATTCCTATTAATTCACTACGTAAAATTGGACATAATAAAGTAAAAATATAGGTCATAAGACAAGAAAATTTAAGTTTATGTGTATTTTAAACTATGTTTTTACGTTTGTAATTTTACATAACATAAAATATTTTTTACGGTGATTATATATTTTTTTACGGTCCCTTTTTGCGTCGGAGAAAAGACAAAACTTACTGAACGTAAAATTACGATGCATTGATGGTAAAATAGAGGGGGATGAAGAATAACTATAACTATATATATATATATATATATATATATATATATATATATATATTTGTATTGTGGATGTTGATACTTTTTAATATATATATGGTCAAACTTTGCAAAGTTTGATTTGACACAAATCTAATTCACGGAGTAAAAAGGACCGGAGGGAGTACAACAAAGTAGAGTTACACATCAAAAGACGTATGTGTAGCAAACTGAGTGTAGCTTAGATGGTTAGATTCTTTGTGATAGAACCAACACATAAGATTTGAAGTCCTACACTTGGCACTGATACTCCTTATCAACTATGAGACATCTATGATGTGATGGCTTCGTCAACCTGAGGATGTATAGTATCTCTAAGGTGCTCATACGAATATAGTGTGCATGCATGTGTTAGTAGGGATGAATGTATGTTCGTGTATGTGGAAACTATGTTAAAAAAGACATATGTGTAATCAACTTAAAGTTACTTCTTACTCACATGAACGTAAAAAAATGGAATCTATACTTACCACTAACTTTATTTCTAACTATGTAGATTGGAAAAGTGAAAATGATATGCATATATTTAGTTTTACCATATTCAAAAAGTAATATTACTATATTTGTAATCCTTATATAATCAAATTGTCTATCAACAGTTTCTTTAGTCTTGGATTTTTTTTTCAAATATTTAGTCTTGGACTAATATCCAATCATTCGCATCTCACCTCACTCTAGACATAAACCATACACCAAAAAGTTCAATGATGTACTTTTAGGTTAACTAGTGTATAACTATTTAACCACTCTTAAAAAGAATCCAAAATAGTGTACAAAAATTTTATGATTAAGATTTAAAAAAACAGGTAACTGAAAATTAACAAAATTGTCATAAAAAATCAAAATTTAAAATCCTTGGTCCTATTTTCGCTCCAGGATTCGTGTCTATGTACAAAGAAATATCATGCTTTTGGTGAATATTTTCGTAGATAACAAACACATAAACTCTCTTTTTTTCTTTTTTTTCTTTTTGCGGGAAGGAATACATGAATTCAAAACATAGGAATAGAAAAAACGCGAGACTTGAGATGTCATATATCCAGAAAAATCCCCAAAACCATGAATTGGATGTCATGTATGAAAAACACAGGAATCACAGACACCAGAAGAAGAGAACAAACAAATATGAGGTAAATTCATGTGATGGAAACATATCTTTCACATGGATTCGTCATTATGTCGGGAAACAATCAATAGGATACGCCTACGCTTTGTTACTTGGAGAAGCAGTTTCTTGTCCAATTTTTCAATGCAGTTCCACTGATACGTGTCGACAGCTGAGGCTACCGTCCCGGACCCCCACAACCGGTTTTGTTTTCGTTCCCAGCCTTTTCCCGGGTTGCACTCAAGTAGAATAGGTGCAAGTGCAACGTAGTACACCACGATTGCACGTAGTACATAGATACTGTACATGTTATACCTTTTCGGTGCGTGTAATGATTCACGACTGGTTGCCTAATTTGTTTGTTTTCTTTTCGTTGCACCTTTTCTACAATTTTACTTGGTTCTATAATAGTATTTTTTTGAATGATATTTTAGTTTTTGTTTGCATGGATGGTATGGTAATTTTACTTGGTTCTATCAACTCACGGGTGCGTATACCATATGTGTACGCTGTCGCCTGTACGTATGCGCGTCCCTGCCACATACACGTAACGTACTTCCGTAGTACGCGGCACGTGTGTATATACCTGGATCTGGTCTCCGACGTTGACGATGAAGGCGTCAGGGACCGGGTCGACGGTGATCCACTGGCCATCCTTCTTCACCTGCAGCCCCCGAACGTGGTCGTCGACGAGCAGCATGGTCATGCCGCCGGGGTCCGAGTGCGCCGCCACGCCCAGCGTCAGCTCCGGCTGCGGGCACCTCGGGTAGAAGTTAACCCTCATGCATGCCCCCTCGCCGCCCTCCCCGCCGAACGCTGCCTGCAGCCTCCCGCCGTCGAGTCCCAGCCCCTTGGACAGCACCTTTGATACCCTCCGGCACAGCTTCACCACCTCCTCGCCGTACTCCTCCGTCGCCTCCCTGCCATGCATGCATACACATCGGCCAGCTAAATAACTTGTGAATTAATTGGATCGACGAGCATGCGACGCGAGTGCGTGTAGGTAGACCTAGGTGCCTGTGTGCGTACCGTAGGGTGGACGGAAGGGACGGCCACTTGTCGTGGCTCTTGATCGACGGCGGGAGGAGGTGCAGGAAGTAGTAGTCGCCCCAGTCGAGGTGTCCACCCTTGGTGGTACCGAGACGGCTGCCGTAGCCCTCGTACGTCGCCGGCGAGTTGGCGTACCGCTCGCGCACCTCGGCTGGCTGCCTGAAGAAACCGCGCCACGACGAGCGCGCCCGCCGCAGCAGCTCAGGACTCACGCCGTGGTTCACCGCCTGGAAGAACCCCCACTCCCGGCACGCGGCGTCCACGGCACGGACTGTCTCGTCCGAGTCCGGCATTGACATGTCCACTACCGGGATGTTTAGGCTGCCGCCGCCATGTGAGACCGCCGGTTGGAGGGTCGTCGCCGACGGCCGATCCAACGGCAGCTTGACGTACCGCTCGGGTATTGTCTCGCCGCAGGTGTCCGACACGGCCTGCACGCGCACCACGGGCTCCGGCCAGCCGGCGCCACCGTTGAAGCAGCTACTCATCGGAGCTAGTACCTAGCTTGAGGCGGGTAGTGTTAAGGCGCTCCAACACTAAGCGCCTTTTATAAAGGAAGCAGAGGATAAGGGAAAGACAGTCATTATTGAGGTGTTGAGAATATACAATTGAGCTAGTGCTTTGCTAGGGCATGAAAGCAACGTATATAGGATAATACAAACACGTGCTGCAAAGATTAAAAGTAGCTACAGCATGGGATTAACATTAACTAGTACAGTAGTATATATTGTTTTGTGTGGCTAGGGTTTTTGTGTGGACATACTTTATGCTAGTGCTTTTGTGGACTCTATACCCATCCTATATTATATATACTACTTTTATTAGCTAGGTCAGTGAAACTTAACAATCATGAGCAAAACAATGCACGTTTTCTGCATTCTTGCGCCTTGTCATGAGCATTTGAGCGTGCTATAGCTCTCTTTGATCACTTGCAGCTTTCGAAGACCATACCTTACGTATATAATTGTCTATAGGTCACATCGAGAATGAATAACAGTGCTTATTTGTGACATGTGTGTTAGTATTAATCTGTATAGTGTTGACTAATCTTTTTTTGAAGGAAAAAAGAAATCGTTAGTATACAATTTTTCCCGCTCATGTATATATGTATACGGTAGTAGCTAGGAAGCCAACCGTTGGTTGCATGCCTCTCGGATGCGGATACTGGCCAAAAGATAAACTTTTCTATTATTAAAAATCGGCAATCTTATCTGGCTGACGTCCCAGGGAGCAATTTCTGGCGAACGCCCCCGGAGCCCTTCCATTTGGATCTAAGGGTGGCCGTTTTCTACAAGAAATACCCTAAAGAGACTAAAAGTAATCCGCAAAAAAAAAAGAGACTAAAAGTAGGAACTGGCATGACAGTTTTCAAAACTGCCAACCCTATATACATAAAATGACACTCAGGTTGTTCGCATGTCCACCCCTAGCCGGAGACCGTTCGCCAACTAGCGGGATCCTTAAAAGTATAGATTCATTTCAATAGAGAGTACAACGGTGGACTCTGCAATTGGTTGTTGCACACCGCGACCTATGTATTTATCTTTTATTTTAATTTTTTAATAATATACATTTTTATTAACTTTTTTGCGAGAACATTTTTATTAACTTAATGTGTACCCTCCAAGTTGTATGAACACATTATTTGGAACGTGGTTAAATTGAGTGGATTCAAACATAACGAGTCATATTTGGATAGGAGTATGCGCGTTATTATGGGCTATCTGGAACACTAGGAGTGACATAATCTTAACCGGAAAAACTTTATCAACTTTTTGCAGGTTATCCATAGAGCTACTGCTTGGATCCGTACGTGGTCATTACTCACCCATGCGGATTCCAATGAGCGTTTGAATACTGGGTGCAACCGATGGGAGACAGTCGCACGGGTTATCTTCAACCGATTTGGATGGCGAGCTACTAATAGACTAGGTGTGTAGGCATCGTGGCCTTTGGCTATTTTCGCTGGATGTGGCATCTTTTTATTTCATTTTGCTTTGCTCCATTTGTGAGTCAACTTGCACTACAGACTTGTGTTCGTACTTGTTTTCATATTATGGTTGCATGCATCAATCTGATGCAGAGGTAGGGGGTTAACCTCCTTTTCCAAAAAAAAACTTAATGCGTAGCATCAAGCAGATGCAGAACTTGATGAGTGACACCAGACATCTGCATAATTAAGATGCACACATCCAGAATCAACAATTTAAAAGAAGAAGGATATGAATGATAGATGGGCAACATTTTAGTTATATGTTACCGACACGATGTCTATGTCGATGGAGGTGGTGAACCCCTATCAGTAGATTATGATGTCACCCATTGTTGGTGAAACCTTCCTGGCCAACCACTTCAATCATATACACACCCCTTTAAACAACGGTCAGTACTTCATTTGGTCCAGCGTAAATAACCCACGTAGGAAGCAACCGAAAATAACCTATGTATTTACCTATTCCCTTTGTACAAATAACATCCCTCCAATCATGTAGTAGAAAGCAACAAAATTTTATTCAAAGGACAAAATACGAGATAGGACACACTAGCAAATCCACCTCCTGCGATACTAGTGTGTTAGATCTTCATCTTTCTTTCATGTTCTTGAGAAGGCATCCCCTCCATACTTCGCCGACGAGCCCTTCTATTCGCCTCCCCTCTACCTGCCACTCCGATGGCCCGTTGCGGGGAGGGGAATCCTAGTGCCTCCCCTCCTGTTAGTACTTTAGGTTAGGGTTTCTTAATCCTTGCAGGTGCGCTGCTCGGGTGGATCGCAGTGCTTCTTCTTTGAGATTGTCTTCCAGGCTCGGACCCTCCTTGAGTTCGTCCATCTGGACATATTCGATGGACCTCCGGCGTAGATTCCTGTCGCATCCTTGGGGCGGCGAGGTTAGTGTTTCTCGTTGTGCATGTGCGATAACGAGATTTGGTGTTAGTTGCTTCAGATATATTCAAGGGTTGAACGACGACGACTACGACTACAGGGGCTGGTCCTTTAGGGCACGTGCTCCAAGACTTCCTAGTTGTCATCGACAAGGTTAAGCTGGCTCTGGTAGGGGAGCGGTGATAGCGACACGTCGATGACTCGTTCTGGCGACGGTAGTGGTCATTCGACGGTCTAGAGCCCTTGATGTAGTTTTTGTTAAGTTTGAGGCCTTTGTACTTCTTATAAATATTTTACCTTCCACACCGGGGAGATCATCACTCCACCCGCAAATAACGCTAGTGCAGTAATCAGTTTAATCTAGCAACCTTTTTTCTTGTCCCAGCACAGCTAGTGCCTTCAAAGACGAGTAACACATGTGGCCTTGAATTGTTCTTTGAAGAGAGTAGCTATACTGCTACACATGTCATAGGCATCGTGTGTGCTAATAAGATGCTTTCGTTTGCAGACACTGACAATGCAACAATATTCAACTAGGTTAATTTATTCCCTCAAGAAAAAACTAGGTTAATTTAGGCAGGCACATGAACTGATTGCTGACTTTTTGTTCCTCTCGAGATTAATCGTTTTCCTTTGTTGTACAGTAGCCTAGATGTTTGGTTAGATTTCTCTTTCTCCTCCACGTGGTCTAATAATAAAGGTTTTTTTGGATCTAGCAAAATTTAGTAAATGTAGTAATCCATGTCAAAATCAAAATCTATGGAGTATATAGATCGATATACAGCCCCACAATTTTCTCTTTTGCTAATTTGGGTGGACAGTATTTGATTTATCACATGTATATTCCCTGATTAAAGAATAACTTCTCTAGAGTTGTGAACGTCATGCATGATGTATCTCCCACAAATGTAGTCCTGAATTTAACTTTTGATAAAATATTAGGAAAATAAACTTTCGTAATATTTTACGTTTGCCTAAATTTAACAGTCGTAACATTTACAGCCATTATAGCTTTAAAATTGTTCTAAGGGATAGTAGGTGCTCCTGAGGTCTTTAGTGTGTCTCTTATCTTCCCACTATCAAACGCATGAAATGGTGCCAAAAATGGCGATTGTATGGAGAAGATTTGGGCGTTTCCACGGTCGTTACCATGTGGTACGAGCAGCGATACGACTGCGTATAGTCGTACCAATGCCCAGCTTGTGTTTTGTCCTCTACCCCAAGCTCGCTGGTTAAGTATATTGACATTAACTTTTACGTACTACCACAACTTAATAAAATGACCAAAAAACCAAAGGTCTTATCTCAACGAGACGAATGACTTCCAGGTTGCTTCTTCATTAGAGATCATCTTGACGTCGCTCCTTTGGAATTCACCAAATACAACATCGGTTCTCCTTTGCCTTGCTCCGAAGTTGGCTCTTTTTACAGAGCTGGTCGAAGCAGACTTTCATGAAAAATAGTATCTCAGTTTGTACATCGTTCCCAGTAACACTAGTAGAAAAAAGGCGTAATGTCACTAGTAGAAAACAGGGCTATGGTCCAGGCCGGCTCAGCCCATTAGTCCCGGTTCAGTCTAGAATCGGGATCAATGTGGGCATTGGTCCCGGTTCGTGAGCCCAGGGGGCCGGCCGGGCCACGTGGGCCATTGGTCCCGGTTCGTCTGGACCTTTTGATCCCGGTTGGTGGGACGAACCGGGACCAATGGGCCTCGCTCTTGGCCCACCACCATTGGTCCCGGTTGGTGGCTTGAACCGGGACCAAAGGCTTCCCTTTAGTCCCGGTTCATGTGATCACCCGGGACCAATGAGGTGCCTATATATACCCCCTCGCGCAAGAGCAGAGCACAGTGCTCTGTTTTTTCTGGCCGAGGGGGAGAGGGCTTTGTGGTGCTCTAGCTCACCTCCTATGCACATGAGGTGTTCGATGGAATGCCCGAGCCACACTACTTAAGCTTTCTCCTCTCGAAGCTCGACCTCCAAGCTCCATTTTCCTCGAGATTTGTCTAGATTTAGCGGTCCGTCACGCCCCGTCCCCGTCTTCACTGCCGTCGATCACCCGCGCCGATCTCATCACCGACACCGCCGTGGTGAGCCTCTTGTTCTTATCTTCTTTCTGAAAGGAAAAATATTCTTACTTGTATGTTTAGATAGATACTTGTATCATTTTCTTACATTTATTATTGCATCTTATATAGTGCGATGGTTTTGGTATCCGCCCCGTCGGCCCTCGTCCTGTCTATGATTCGGATTTGATATGTATATTATCTTTATAACTATTGGTTTATTTATTGTTTATGAAAATTATGCCAACCAACGTGACATAGATTTTATTTATCTAGGATGTATGTGAATCGGAAATGCCAACCGACCCTATTGTCGAGAGGTTAAATTTAGTTGAAGAAGAAAATAATTTGTTGAAGGAAAAAATAAAAAAAATTGAGGAGGAGAAGATGATATTGGAGTTGCATGTTGCGGATGTCGTCGATGATCACAAGATCAAGATGGATGCAATGCGCTTGAAGATTAGAAAGATTAGAAAATATGCCATTCATACCGAGGCTTGGTATCATTATGCCGTTGGATCAATTGTTACCTTGATTGCGAT